ATTCTGTCTGTGTACATGCATCCTATTTACAACACTCATGCCCTTTGAGTCAAAAATAACCTTCAAGCATTCTGTCTTGGTAACTATGGTGTTTGTTTTAACTGTTTGGTAGAGCAAGTGCATTTTGTGCATACTTTTTGTAGGACAAAAAACTAGTAATTATCTTACTAGTAATTTTTGAGAGATTATTCCTCATTTTAAAACATCCTAAATTCAACAGCTAACACTCTAGCATCAATAGCTAATCCAACCCTGAGCTTATGGACATGATAATAAGTAGACTGATAGCAGGAATTGGAATAATGTGCAGGAATGAAGGAAACAGATCCTTGGAGCTGAAGTTGGAAATAGCAGGCACAAAAGCCAAATCAAAACCTGTGGAAGGATGGGCAAAGCTTTTGCCATGAAATCTTCAGACATGAAGGTCGATGAGAACTAAATTCTGGATTGTTGACATCCACTTTTGATTTTGTAACATGCATGTACCTTAAGGCTTAAGCATCTCACTTGCTCCATATTTCTAAATGATACTTGCTTGACTGAAAACGAAACCACAAGGCCCCAACTCTCCTAGACACATAGGTTCCCAGCTCCTAGGAATTTGACTTCCAGTGACTTGGGGAGTTTACGTCTAAATGCCTTTGAGGGTCCCTAGCAAATGAGAGCAAAAGTGAAATAATACAACAAAGAACAAGAGGAGGATTCCAAACTAATGATATTAAGAAGGTTTCAGGTTAACCTGATGCTGGGATGAATTTACAGAGAGGATTTTTCTCAAAAGATGATTTACAGCTGAGCACCTGGAGAAGATAGTTTGCATCTGGCACAGCTGAAGAGCTTTATTCCTAATAAGAAATAAAGCAAGAAGCATGGAGAAGATTTATGTAATCTTCACACTCAGAGTCAGCACTCTTGAAAAAGGAAATCAGATAAAATATAATGACTGCTAAAGCAGGCAGAAAAATGTACAGAAGTGAAAAAAAATCAATATTAATATTAGCAAAAAAATGTGTGAAATTAGTAAGTAAGAGGGCTGTGCTTAATCCATCTTGGGAACTGAGAGCTGTCAAGAAGAAAGAAGGGATATATTTGGCAACACAAGGGATATAAAAGGCAACATTGCCCACAGAGTGGGCAGCAGCGTGGCAGACTTGGTCTGATGCTGCAGATGCTGTAAGGGCAGAATGAGGGGGTTGTGATCACTACTGCAACAGTATTTCTACAAGCATGCACTGTTCAGAAGAGATCAAAGTGGGGGATTAACTCAAGGATCTGTTTTTTGCTTCAGGCCTACAGATCTGACTTTCAGTACACTTCCCTCCTTAAGATATAAGGCCTTAGAGCAGAACAGACAGCTTCACAGGGAGGCTGTGGTACTGCTGCTGAAGCAACATCCTTCAGCCAGCCACCCACGGAGGGAGGGAATGGCAGAGCTGAAACCTCACTAGCCAGGTGTGTTAAGACACTGCTGCAAGGCAGGCCCACTCTGTAACTGAGGAGGAGAGAACGTTTGTGATGACACGTACGTAGGTGACCCTGCATTGCTGACTCCGCACCCCCCGGCACTGCCACTGGGACAGGGTTGCTGCAGAACAGGCTGTCTGGTCAGGGACTGCCGGGGGGCTGCCAGGATGTCCAGTATTGCAGCTAGGAACAGCTCCATGGCTCTGCTTGCATCACTACTATTCTTTGGGAGCATTTCTCCTTTTGCTGACTTCCTACCTGCCCCAGTGTACAGTTCAGGATGTTGGGTTTCACCTCCAGAACTCTGTTGGAGCTGTTCCCAGCACTGCACTGAGTTATGTGGCTGCCAATAGGATATTGCTCTATAACAGCAAGTGCCAAAGGAGGGGCCCTGGCTCCTCAGGAATCATGGTCTACACAGCCTGCCAGCACATCTCTTCTAATTTTCTGCTTAAACTCGTCTTCTTGTAAGCAGTCCCAACTCTGATATTCATGCATACTCCTATGCCACCAATCATCCTTCTCATAATGCCACCCCAGTGGTGCTCATGCACTCACCTCCATTCTCCTGCTCAGCTCTGCTGCTTGGTGCCCAACCTAGTAAAGGATATGGCCGATTGAAATCTGTGGAAGTACTTCCCTTACCTTCAGTGGGCTTTAGAATCAGCCTGTGATAATGCTAAAGAGGGTCACCAGCAGCCCATCTGAAGCCAGGAAAAATGGTCCCATTGCCTGAAGCGTGAAGTAGAGTGCACTTCAAGAGGCTGTGTGGTCTTCCCTTGTTTGCTGTGTGAACCTTCACACCCGGTTCTTCTGACCTGTTCTGACCTGACCCGGTTCTGCTGTAACCACTTCTGAGGGGCAGATCCAGCCTGTCCCCCTGAGGTGCAGGTGTTTGTGTGCCTGTGGCTTGTCCTGTGTTGTGTGGCACTGAGTGGAGCAGAAGGAGAGCTTGGGGGCTGGAATTGTCTCCCTGGCATAAACATGCCTTGCATGAGCTCTGTACTTTAGACAATTGATCCTAAATGTGGAAACCATGTTCTTTTAGTAGATACAGTATGTGAATGCACAGTGCCCATAACAGCGGCTTCAAGTCTAACCTATAAATACCGTTAAATACTACAACTGTAATTTATATTAACCAAGGGATGAGCTATTGTTTCACAGGAAAATGTTCAGAATATTTGGCAGATGCAGGGCTCGGATGACATCAGTGCTGACTCTCAAAATCAAACTGCCACCTTGTGGTACGGTGAGGGAGAATTCTGCAGGAAATCACAAAGACAACAAAAATACAGATCCACAGTAAAAACTGATCCCTTTGCTCCCCCCCACGATTTACAGTATTTATGTATTCTTGAATATATTTTGATTATACTTCAGGCAATCTGTTTCTGATTGTTTATCAATTTAAAACATAAAGCCATTTCCTCATTCTTATGTATAATAGTACTGAAACAACCAGAGCACTCACGAGTATTTTCTGCAAGATTAGACCCAAATGCTGCTTACAGAAAAACACTAAGGGCTAAACATATCTACAATTGTTTCCTTTCTCTCTTTTGAACTTAATAATATTAAGAAAAATTCCTGTGAGAGTCAGAGCAGGGCCACACAAATTGCTGAAAGTGAGCAGGTTGAGGTGCTGTTCTTTCCTGTGCATGCTCTTGGACCATGATGGATGTAAGGCAATTTTAATCAGCTTTCTCTTTCACTGTGGGCAAAGCCATCACAAATTACTTCACCTTGCTTGTCAGCCAAGAGCAAGCACAATGGATCAGCAGATGTGCAGTAATCTGTTACAGCAACATGCTTGTGCATCTCAACCTTCAAGCAGCAGATCAGTATGTGAGGTACCGGCATGATCCTTTCAGCTAGATATTCTGTCACACAGTACTATTTATGGAATATGATAGATAAAAAGCTAGTCCTTTTCAAATCGAAAGTGTAGCTGAGGTGAGCAATTGATTACAGACACATGTCAGTTCTTTGTGCATCCATGACTTTCCAGGAATATAGTGGTTTAAAAAAAAAAAAGTTGCAGGTACCAAGAAGCCCGTAACATCTGGTGTTCACATCTTGTTCCTCCTCTCATACCAGACAAGCATCAACATTTTTTTTACAGCCTGAAGTGGAGGCATCCACTACTGAAAGTAACAAAGTAAGAGGAAGGCAATCCTGAAGGAGGGAATGTAAAGGTATGGAGATTCTGACTCTCCTCTTAAGCCTAGAAAGACCCAGATGAGCTGCTTGGGACATACAGTACCTGTTGTCCTTCCCACTGCATCTTCAGATTGTGCACAACATCAGGGAATTAGTGTTTAAAAATATTCTTCATCCAAAAGTACATAGGTAGAAGGAACTCACAAATTTCCCAGTTCTCCACAAACTGCTGTCCTGTAACACCTTTGTTGAGCACTGATTCTAGGAGAGGGCTGGTGAGCATTCCCATGGACAGGGGTCATCTGGGTCCACACAGGGCTGTCTGAGGATTCTGGCCCCCAAAAACCCTACGAGAATAGCAGCTGCTCTAACTTCTACTGCCATGAGGCTCACATTTCTCCATTGGTCCACTTGGCAGCCAAATTCACAGGAAGGATAAACATGAAGCTTTCTTTATAGTGGTTGTGGTGGGGTCCACTTTGCTAAGTGATATAAATCATGGGTAAATAGTTTCCTTCTACATGTGGTCTCATCCAGTAGCCCAAGTGGGTGCAGGTGTGAACCACTTCTATGTGATGCATGGTAGCAGCTCATGGTAGCCGCATGTGGGTTTGCATCACTGCTGTCAATACAGGGACAGGGAACTGGCAAAGACAGCAGGAAAAGGCAGGGAAGGGGCAGTGTTCAGAGGGGGATGGGGTTGTGAGGGAGAAGGTCTGAATTTAGATGAAGGGTGAGCAGGGGAAGGAAAAGAGCCTATGGACCCATGCAGCCTCCTGTGCTTGCATCTGAGTTAACTCACACGTAGGCCCCCTGTGGTGTGTGAGATCTCGCACCACATAACATGTCTGTACAGCTCTGCAGCCCCCTCATCCCAGCATTTCTCCTTACAAGGAACACTGTTTGTGACCCCTAAAACCAGCACCAACATGCAGAATGCTGTCCAGAGGAACAGTGAGTTACCTCCCATGGGAAGAGTGCCTTGGGGATTTTTTAATTTTTTTTTTTTTCTGAATTGCACTAGTTAAAAGGCATCTGCAGGCACAGCATCACATTCCATTGCAGCCAATAAATCAGCAATGGCAACTCTGAAAGGAAGTGCTTCTCTAGCAGAGAAACAACATCCAGGACTAGTGTCATTTAATGTAAGTGTTTGGCAGTAGCAGAAGGTAATCAGGTGGTTAATTAATGTGTATAAATCCCATGGAGATAACTTTTATTTTGCTTTTATTGCTAATGTCTCTGTGCTCACTTTCATCAAAGGAGTGTAGTGATATCTAAGAGTGGCATTTCGATGCCCAAAATGCTCCTTATATAAATAGAACAAGCAGATCAGCATGACTGAGTGATAAAATTACCTTCTGGTCTTCAGAAACTTCAGCATGCAACTGTGCTATAGGGACTTCAGAGTAATCCTCTGCACGGCACAAACAGATACATTTGAAAATGGATTTAAAGGAGACATACAGAGAGGGAGAGAATACAGAGGAGAAAATTACTCGAGCTGCAGCTGCTAAGTTGGTGAAAAAAGCTTTTCTTGAAGCCCTGAAGTCCAATGACTTTGAAACCCTGGAGGAGCTCTTGAGCCAAAAGAAAATAGACGTGGACACAGTGTTTGAAGTGGAAGATGAAAACCTGATTCTGGCATCCTACAAACAAGGTAAATGTGGCAGCATTCACCAGCCAGGAAGTAGAAGGGTTTGAGTGATTTTCGAGAAACTGTGGCTTTTTATCTCTTCTGAAGCTGCAGCATAAACTGATTCATAGACAGTAATGTCTCAGTAGGGTCATATGGCCATCGTCACAGTAGTAGGGGAGCTTATCAGCTGTACCTGCTGGGTTTGATAGAAGGCAGGCCAGAGCCCAGCCTGAGCCTCCATGTTTCAGAGGAGTCCAGAAAGAGGAGTCCTTTACTATTTCCTTCCAGAGAACTCAGGTGCAAAGCCAAGAATAGATACATGCAGGCTAAGTGGGGTGTATACATTACTTGCATGAACCCGTACACATATACAGACTGTTCAGAAGCATAAAATATTCCATGTCTTCCATTTTCAATTTACAGTAGCAGTAGAGTGAATTCTGCCTGGCTCAGGAAACCTAAGGAAATCCTGTGGACCTTGGAGGTTGATGGATGGGAGGAGATTTACTTTTTCCAACTGACAGAAAGTGAGGATCTGCTAGTTTGTTGAAACAGAAAAATAATCTGGAAAAACACAACCAAGAAAGACATCTGTTTCAGAGTGTAGAAAACCCAAACCAGTTCCCAGCCATACACTGACTGAGTTTCCAAAACCTTACAACTTAAAGCAATAAACCAAGTTTGCTCTTTGCTAAAATCAAAACACTTCATGACCTACTTGCTAACAGACTCTCCGTGTGTATTTAGCAAACAGTAATGATCAGTCTCTGCCAGAAGTTAATCATATGTGGAGATAAACACCTCCAGTGCCAGCAGCACAGCAAATGCACTTTCTTTTCTGTGGCATAAAGAAGGGACAATATCCTTCCTCTACTTCTTTTCTTTGTTTACCTCTTATTTAATGATTGGCTCCTACTCTTTTGATTTCTTCAGGATGAGGATGATGCAGTAATTATGCACTTCCCTTAAGGACAGTGCATGAACTAAGCCACACAGTGCTGAATGTATCTTAAAATACATCTTCTTCTGTCCTCAGCAGGCTAAGGTGCATTCTGGTTGTGGTTTAAGACTACAGGATTAATGCATAGATTTTTATTTGTAGATCGTTTAACTGTAAACATTAACCTGTCTCTTTTGAAGTCTCTCCTTTCTCCAAAAAGTAGAGAGGTAAATGCACAATATGGCCTAAATCACAGCAGTGTATCCACCTTGTCTGAAAGGCAAGAGGCACTCTATCAACTCTCATGTAAATTTTACTTTTGTTTTGAATACCAGATAACTGTGACATGAAAGAGGAATTTCCTTGAGGAGGAAGAGGGAAGAAAAATTCGCTCCTACCACACCACAATTCAGACAGTCTGAGCTTTGCCATAGTCCTAAGTGATGAAGTGGAAAATAGATGTCATAGGTGACAGAGTGTCTTTGCTTCCTCTCTTCCATAGAGGCTGAGAGTTCTCAAAGACACTGACCTTGCTTGTACCATGGCTTTTACATGTTTCTAACCAAATAAACAGGTAAGCTGAATGAGGTCTCCCATGAAGCCCACATCTGCTTTCTGTTTAGTGCCTGGTCTCTGTCCCTCTGAGCTCAGAGTTGTCTATGGGTTTGGGCAGAGGACATGGAAGATGCTCCTCAGGATATCTGAGCACAGCTCACCTGCAGCAGCACAGGCAAAGGAAATTAACAGTAGTCTCGGGCAGGAAAATTGTGGCTATAAAAAGTGATAACTTGGCTTTTAAAGATCACTTTCCTGCTGTTAATATATAATTTATGGCTCACATCTGGCCATAAATGTGAGACCCAGCTCTGTGTGGGATAAGCTGGCAGTGCTCCAAAGCTCACTGGTAACAAGGGGGATACTGTATGTGAGTTTGGATAAGGAGGTTATTTAAGAAGCTTGCTCTGCTATATGCATAGACTTTGGGATGTGGCCCACCTACTCTGTGCCTGGTTTAAGGGCATATAATGAAAAGGTTGCCTTACCAGAGTTGCCAGTGTAATCTGGAGAGTCAGCAGGTTGAGTGTCCTCAGAGGACACTGTCACCCCGCTCGTGCACTCTGGTGTCTCAGGGCTGCCTGATTTTGCTAGCTATTCACAGTGTGAGTTCCTTGAGGACTGGAGTTTGGTAGTCCCCAAAATTTGGTCCTACAGTAAATGATGTCTGCAGTTTCTTGCCCCTATCTAAAAATATATTTGCAATTTAACTAGGAGGGAAGAAAAATATTAACCAGTTTCTCCCTGTCACCATCACTTTGTTTCCTTCTTCCTTCTTTCACCTCTTTCTTTCCTCCTCATCTTCTTTCTGCCTAATGCAACATCCATGAATACTGTAAAAACTGTATCTATGTGACATTAAGGTTGAAAAACTACACAAAACTAGAGTCTAAAAAAGGAAGGTTTTAATTACTTTAACCTCATTATAGATCTTGAGTATTTTTTCTATGTCTTTTACATGATTTCAACCAGGCGGTCGCAGGATCACAGAATATGCTGAGTTGGAAAGGACTCACAAGGATCATTGAGTCCAACACTTAGCCCAAAAGTCACACCATGTGCCTGAGAGCATCAGCCAAATGCTTCTTGAACTCTGTCAGGCTTGGTGCTGTGACCACTTCCCTGGGGAGCCTATTCCAGCATCCAACCACCCTCTGGGTGAAGAACCTCTTTCTAATGTTCAACCTAAACCTCCCCTGACACAACTTCAGGCCATTCCCTCAGGTCCTGTCACTGGTCACCACAGAGAAGAGATCAGTCATCCAAGGAGAAATAGATAAATCAAACCTAGAGGATTTTATAGGCACATTCTAGCTAAGATGCAGCTGCTGTATCTTAAGAAAAAAAAAAGGAAAGAAGTTTTAGATTTCTCCTGCCCTTCTGCACATTATTATGGTCCTTCATTTTTTTTAAGCAAATGGTTATAGTTATCACTTCAGAGACTGTATCTGTGCAGTCATTAAGCATGCAGTCCTATTTTGGGAACAAGTATTTCAGTGTCATTTGGTCTTACACCTGCTTGTGAGTAAACAAAACAAAACAAAAAAATAATAATGAAATTTTCTGAGAAAAATTCAAACATTTTGGAGCCAAATTTCATGCTGAAGTGTCACTGCTTCTATTTGGCTCTTCAACATAATTTACATCAGCATTCAATCTTCTCCCTCCATACTCCTCAGGGGCAGTAGTTGGCAGGAGGTCTCTGACACAGCTGCAGCTACATTGCTGGGGCTCATCTATGTGCAGTGCATCCCTGGAGGTCTGAATCCAGATTCTGACATGCAAGATCCTGCTATCTGCTACACAGAAACAGTAGAATGAATTGTCTGTTGAGTCACTGTCCTAAGTAAATGCTGCCTTCTTAGTCTAATGCCACCTTTGTTCAGCTAGTGGCAGGCTGAAGATCCCATTTCCCCCATATTTTTTAGGTGGTGGCATTTCAAACACTTTAAGAATATTTTTTTTATTTAATCTACACAAGTCACAAAAAAATCTAATATCTTATTTCAGATTGTGTCTATTCTATGGGAATTATCTCTCCAGAGGGCGGGCTATTCAGCACATATAGTAACAGTGCTTAATGAAAATGAAATTATGCCTGAGAGAATTTTGTGTGCACTTATCTGGTGAAAATACAGTAAATTACATCAAAACTCCAACCCTTCCTTCCCCTTCAATTATTCTCAGCAGGTGGATAGTTCAAAGAAAAGTGTTTGCCAAGGCCGGTAACATGTTTTCACTTTGTACAGGGTACTGGCTGCCTAGCTACAAATTAAAAATATCCTGGGCAACTGGACTTCATCTGGCTGTCATGTATGGACATCTGGAGAGTCTTTTAGTCCTCCTCAATCACAAAGCTACAATCAACTGCCGGCCCAATGGAAAAGCTGCGATCCACATAGCCTGTGAAATGGCAAATGTCGAGTGTCTCAAGATCCTTTGCAACCACGGAGCTAAGCTGAACTGCTTTTCAATGAGTGGGCAGGCACCCTTGCACTTCTGCACGACACGAGCCTCCATGCCTTGTGCCCAGCAGCTGATTTGGAGAGGTAAGGTAAAGCTCTGGAGTGTCTCTCATGGCATAGCCAGAGATGATGAGCATGGTCTGGGCTTTCTCTTGAGAGACAATTTCTCAAAGTACATGTGTATTTATCCCTTTCATTCACAGCTGACTTATGTCTTAATCTCACACTCCTTTTCCCCATCTCTTTGATCTGAGAAAGTTTTTCCCATTCTGTTTCCTCACACCATCTGTCTTTCCCTTTCCGTGGCCACAGATCCTTACTCCAAGATTGTTTCCCAGTTCAGTGTCTTCAGCCCACTGCCCAATCAGTCCATCAGCAGAAGAGATCCTCTGAATCAAGGAGTTTCTATTTCTCTTGGGGTTTTTTTCTGTCTTCTTCATCTAGGTTTAGTATTGAGCTATTGTCACATGAATAGGCACTTCTCTTATTGTCTTTCTTGCTTGAATTTTCTTGATCTCAGTAAAATTCTTCTAACCACTTGTTTTTTAGATCTGGCCTTGAAAAACTGGATGCAGTTTTTCATACATCTCTTCATTTGTCAACAGCCAAACTCCTGCATCTATGCAGGGCTTGGAGAAAAAAAAAGGCTAATATTAAAGATTTTTGTTTTCCTGAAATCAGATATGTTACACTGATCTGTATCTGTAACAAATGAAGCTAAGCATAGATGTAATTCCTCCATAAATATATTTGTCAGACACTATTTGCTTAACAGAAGGATGCTGACTCAGGACACAGTAAAAGAAGCACATAAAAGGTACAGCAAAATCAGGCAGCTCAAGTATTTAGTTACAAACAGAAAGACGCCCCTATTTATCACACTCTGCCATGGCAAATACAAATGCTTTTGGGTTTTTTTCTACATGTGTTGTTATTGAGGGCTTTTCCTGAGATGCAGAGCCCAAGTATGCTTTGTGGGCAAGGCAATCATCAGTCATAAATGAATAACAACATTATTTTTCTTCTGCTGGAAAAAATACACATTATTTTGTTTGGTAGAAAGGAAAATAAATGCTGCCAGTTGTATCCTGCCCAAAGCAAACAGTCCTGACAGCAGGAGTTGAATTTGCTATGATAGAAAAGCTTAAAAGTCAAAGGTACTCTTATGAAAGGCATCATAGAATGAATGCAAGAGAAAGGATGTATTCTGTAGGCTTTCTCCACCCACCCATCCGCAACAGTATAATAGTACTTTACAAGCCACCCTTCCTCTCAAAGCACTGAGTAAACTGTAATCTCCATATGAGCTAAGTGTTGGGACTCCAAATAAGATGGGAAAGGTCTGGAGCAGAATATGTCAGGTGTGCACATTCACACAGCAGCACGCCCCAACAGCCAAAGCCAGGGTTTCTTTTGCCCTTGGTACCAAAGTTCCCAAGATGCATCTTCCACCTGCCATTTCCACTCAGTGGTGTCACACGAGATCCATTCAGGTCATTGCTGTTTGACCCCCTCTGTCTGGGGTGACTTGCCACTCAAGCAGTGCTGACCCCGTGTTCGGTTACCACCTCCAAACTCAAACTGCCGATGCTCTCTCAGGGACGTCGAACACTACTAACACTCGACATGGCTTAATAACATTAGCACTCAAGTTTTCCAGCTCAGAGGTAGTTTCTGACTCTGCTTCCTCCCTCGCAATCTTTGCACCTCGGTCTTAATTGTGAGGGACAGGGACCACCTCTCTGCTCGGCAGATGGTGCTGTTGCTTCAGCTGCAGCAGCCGCTGGGCACAAGCGGAGCAGTTGGACCCGATCCTTTCTCCTACAATTTTTAATTTATAGGAAAAAGCATTTTACACAGAGATTTGGGCCTTCTGCTGCTCCAAAATAGAGTGTTCAGATAAAGTCTTCCTCCAGTTCGGGGCCAGGCTATCACATCTGAAGCAGGATCCAAGAATCTGAAGTTACTCCCTGGGGGCTTAAGAGATGAACAATCCATGGTATTTGCATTTTCATATGTGTCGTTCATGCCAGTTACCCACCGTGACCTTCTCCTTGGGAATGAAGGCTCAGTCAGAGAGATGGCCAAACGAGCATTTCATTACCTTAATTTTTTTTCCCCATCATCTTTTGCTGGCAGGAGCAAATGTGAACATAAGAACAAACAACAAAGATGAGGAGACTCCTTTGCACGTCGTTGCACGTTTGGGTGTCCCAGAGCTTGTGGCCTTTTACGTGGAACAAGGAGCACACATTGATGCTCTCAATGCCTACATGGAGACTCCCCTGGCCTGTGCAGTCTATTGGGCCCTTCATTATAAGGATCAGATATACAGCCAGGATCACCACCTCATCTGCCGGATGCTCTTAGACTATAAAGCTGAAGTGAATGCTCGTGATGAGGATTTCAAATCACCGCTCCACAAAGCTGCCTGGAACTGTGATCATGTCCTTCTGCATATGTTGCTGGAGGCAGGAGCAGAAGCAAATATCATGGATGTCAATGGCTGTGCACCCCTACAGTATATCATAAAAGTGACATCTGTGCGGCCAGCTGCTCAGCCAGACATCTGCTACCAGCTGCTACTGAATCATGGAGCAGCTAGGATATATCCTCTGCAATTCCATAAGGTTAAGGATGCCTTTGTACAGTAGTGATATGGAGAGAGGTGATGTCTTGAACAGGAATGAGATGAGAGACATAAACTTTGGGGTTTGGTGGTATCTGGATTTACTGGAGTGCTGTCAATGTGGTCCAGAATGCCTGAAACATTGTGAGCTGACCTATTATAAGAGTGGTATGATTTAACTGAAATGAAATTACAGTTGGCCATACCAGAAACTGGATGCAGATCCCATTTTTGCTCTTAACCAACCTGAAATGCCAAACTCTAAATGCCAGTTCATGCCTAATTTTTCCAGAACAGATTCACCTTCTTATTTCAGAAAACCTATATCCCTTTGTCAAACTTGGCTTCATACAGGCTTAACTGAGTTATACAAAGATTAGAAATGAAACCACTTGATTCAGTTTGTCACATCTGACCTTTAAAAATCTATTCATCTATTCAAAATTAAATACGTCTCAATAAAACTTTGGATTATTCCCAGGAAATGTGAGAATTAAAGGGAAATGCTGGCTCTGGGCTCATAGCTGATTAAAACAAACAAAAAAAAAATTACAAGATCTCTCCTGAAAAGTTTTTAAATGTCTGCAAAACCCAAGGAAGTGACAGAAGTACCTGACAGTCTTAATATACCAGACAGCCAAGTAAGCTTGCTGTAGTCAGGACTTATTCTCTCTCATCCAATGCCCTGAGCAACATTTTGCGGTTCCTCCACTGTAGATAGAAAGTTTTAACAAGCCAAGGAACCAGAAGCCTTTGAATAAAATGCCAAATTTTTGGTTGTGCCCTCTTGAACCCAGGATGAGCGGGCCCTGTCTGCAACAGAACAATGCTCTCCTAGAGCTCATTTGAGAGGCAGATCTGGGGTCTCCTCTTCCTGCCTCTGCCTTTCTCCTGTTGCATGAATTGTGTATCTCTTCCAAACCAACATTTGCCCATCTATAAAAAATGTAGGATGATATTTATCCCAGAGGGATGTTTTGAAGTTTTGTTTGTGAAATCTGGTGACTCTGTGGGACAAAATTGGGTGCATGCAAAGTGTGATTCCTTACGGGTGAGTGACAATAGACTTTGGATTTTTTCCCTATTGAGCTAAAGTCACTGGGCAGAACAGTTGTTTCAGGGGCCTTGTGTGGCTTGAAAACCTTACTTCTAACCTGTGTTATCTCCTGGTCTTCTTTTAAATTTTGCTGTAGCAATGCATTTTGGATTCATATGAACGGATTTTATTGTGTTCCTGTGCTGCATGACCTGGACTGAGGACTCTGTGCATGGCTTTGCCTGGTGTCAAGTCACTCAGCCCAGCTATGAACAAGTTATCTCTAGATTTGGGTGCTAAAGCCCACCCCAGCTAGACTGCTCTGGAGATCTAAGCCAGTACTTCTGTATGGTGTTAGACTGGGATATGCACACCTCCACTAGGGACTAGCCTGGGGTTTCTTGCTGAACTTGTGCTGAATAGTGTTGACGGGCCTCGTGTCTTTGCGTCTCCAACCTTATCCTCTCATAATTCTTTGGCTGTGTCTGTCTCAGTTCGTTGCACAGTGCCAAGCATCCAAGCTAGCCCCAGCTTCTTGGTGGTACTTATGGTCTCCATGCATCCTGCCTGCAGGTGCTACAAGCCTGTCATTCCCATCCTAGAGCTGTGGAGGTCGTTGTCAATTCCTATGAACATATCAAATCGACATCTAAGTGGAAAGCAGCCATACCTGAGGATGTCTTTGAGGTAAGCTCTCAATGATTCGTAACTGAGTGAAATCCAAGCTCATTATTTGCATAACCCATACCCAAACATAGGAAAGAAATAATGCTTTTGAAAGAGAAGAACATCTCAGAGGATTTGGGACTTTCCCATTTAATATCACTCATTTGATGAAAGCATATCACTCACTGAAAAAAAAGACATATTTTTGAGAAATTTTCATTGCAACATTATCCTTTGGAGGACCCCCTGTCAGTGGTGCTGCAGAAACTCAGATGTCCCTGTATTCAGCAAGTGAAAGGATTCTGGCTGTATTGGTGTTTCTTCAGATCTGTCAACGTATATATTTATATTTTTTTAAGTCAGTAAATGTTTTAAAAGTGCCATATAACAGGGGTATGATTATGTATCTTTAGGTTCTGTTGCATGGGTCAGGTTTCTACAAACAGGATGGCTTAGCTGAAAATGCAAGGAGAATTTAAATTAAAAATAAGTGATTAAAAGAGGAAAAAATGTGTCAAAAGGCAAAATTGTGGGACAAGTTACATGCTTTTACATAATTATCCCTTTAATTCAGAAATCCTCATAGTCCAAATATTCCAATTTACAACTAGGTTTTTTGTAAACACTGGACTTTTCCAAAATTTTAAAATCAGTGCTGAAATGCAGCAATATCTGCTCTACATTGTCAGTAGGTTTAGGGAACTCCATCTGTATTATAAAGAAGAGTTATATTGCCAGAGAAACTGTGAGATTTTGTTGGGGTCAGATTTGTTCAGAAAAAAAAATCGTTACAGTGAAAACAAAATTAAATGTTAAAGATCTTTTTTCACCTTAATAACAGCAGCAACAACAATAATAATAGCAGTAAAAATTTTTATTCAAACAAAAATATTAATCTGAAATTTTGGGACATTCTTATTTGGAAAAGGTCACAGTTGTTCTATTTCTTTGTTGAGGTTTTAATTTTTGTTGTCAAAGCTGAACTTAACATGAAATTGAAGAAAAACTTTTGTTGATACAAATACATACTTTACTGTACAAAAAGAATAACCTGAAAATACATGTAACCAGATCTATCAAGTAACAAGATTACAAAATAAGATCGAGTCACATGTAGTCACGTGTATTTACCATTTGCTTTGGGGTTTTTTGACGTTATTTGTAAGCATCTGCACTTTTCTGCTCATGGGGATGCAATTTCCTATATTTTAGAAGGCCACTGGAGCGACGAGTAAGACCAAAACTACTCTGCTGTTTACAGCCCCAGTGAACTCACCGGTACCACTGGCATTGTGCTGCCTCACTGCCCCGTGGTGAGGTTTAGAGGATTAACTCACCCATGTGCTCTGACCCTGGGCACACTGCAGGGTCTGTTCAGTCCAGGACTTACACCCCCTTCTCAAACTGATGGATAAGGCATATCAAACCTGTAGACCAAACCTAAATATTTCATCATTGTCTTTCACTTAACACTAAATATTTGAGGGAAGCATAAGAATTTTGTGCAGGCATTTTGGCTAAATGAAGTCCCTGGTTCTTGATGTGCCTTCAAGAGACAAGATGGCAGGCTGTGCTTTTGACCTTGTTCTGCCAAAGGCTACATGTGGGCAGGGGAAAGGGGAGGAAATAAAACACCCTCATTGCCCTAAAACATGTTTGTGGTTTTTTTACAGCGGCACCAGGATTTCTATGACTCTCTGTTCACCGTGTGCAGCAATTCCCCACGGTCACTCATGCATTTATGCAGATGTGCGATTCGGGCAATATTGTCAGAAAGGTGCCATCGGGGAGTGCCCTTGCTCTCCATCCCTCTGCCCATAAAGAAGTACTTGCTGCTGGAACCAGAAGGAATCATCTACTGAGCTGCCACAGAGTGGACATTGGTTTCTCCCTTCCTGTATCCTGTGCAGGGTCCTGGAGCTCCAGACACAATCCTGACACAGCCCTTTGCATGTGTCCATTTGCAGGCCAACCTGAAGCTGGGCTGGGATTTACCAGCTCCCCTTGGAGCTGCTTTCTTTCCCTACACCAAGAAATCACAGCTGCAGCTGCAGTTTGCACTGGGGAGGCAGAGCTGGAAAGGGCCGCTGCTGCAAACACACATGGGCACATACTGCCATGCTTTGTTTAGCCTAGCTTAAACAATGCTGCTGCTTCCTTCAGTATTTATTCCACTGCCTGCTAGATAGCATTAGATTCAATCTGTACAACTTTTGATACTGTTTCACTATAATTTTCTTCAGCTGTCCTTTTGGGGGTAAAAGAAAGAATACTGTCAAAAAATAGGACATTTATTAGAGTCACAGAAATGTTTTCCCAGAAAGAAATGGGCAAAGTGCTTTAAATTGTGACCACAGACAGGCTTTCAGTAGTTTCTCTATATTCCTATTGATTGACTCTTAATTCAATGTTAGTTCACTGTTCACTACACCTGTCTGTTTCTCATAAAGCTTTGTCATAATTCTATCCTTTTTAATTGTAAGAAATTTTTTCTTTATCAATCACAGTATGTAAACAGGATTTAATTGTTCAGCCCTGGAATTTTTGCACTTTGATATTCAAGCCCAGGTAGCTTTTAGCACGTGCTGTCTCTGTTTATACTCTCATAGTGACCGATGATAAATTCATATCCCGGTGTCAAGAAAGTCAGGTAGAAAAGACTTGCCCCTGCAATCTGCACAGCTGTACTTATGCCCATCCCTATATCTCTCAAGATGGTGTTGGATGTGATCTGGGAACAATATGAATCCTTCTCTTCATTGACTACAAAGTGAACCAAGCCTGCTAGCATGCTCTGCACCTCAGTTTTGGCAGCTAAGTGCAGGTGAGAGGAATCCCATCTTAACCAAAAGGTGTTTTGAAGATGAAGATGTGTTTGCTGGGCTGTTACAGACCTGCCAATCCCACTGATCTGAAGACCCTGTGCTTTTGGACCTGACAGCACTGATTTCCTTTACTTCTGGTTGAGCTGTTTTCTCCAGTCCAGAAGGATAAAATGCAGGGCAGTGGCAGTTCACACAGCAAGTATCCCACAGCAAGAGCAAGTATGTGATCTGACCTACAGGTAAACCCCATTTTTCTTCCCTTTTTCAGTCAGATGCAATCCATCTGGGCTGTTTCACTTTTTTTAGACCCTGGCAATTCTGGGCTCTGTGAAGAGGGAGGGAAGCTGTGCCCACCATTGGGAGCCAGTAACTCCTGACTTCTCATTGCATCTCTGACTGTGAAGCTGTCAGTCCTCATTGCTATCACTGTGTCTTTGCAGGAAAGGCCCAGCCAAACAGGAACAGCCAAGCTGTTCAAGTGTCTCTGTGTCTCACAAAATGGCAATAACAGCATTTGAAGAAATGTGCAGATTATTTAGTGTTACAAATCGCTTCTCTTTCCTTTCATCTTGGTTTTCATTAATTAAAGCTTGTATGCTGTGTTAGGAGAGCATCCAATTCATGGGTCTGTTTAGCTAGACAGCAATGAAGATTGCTATTTAGCAGTTTCCAATTCCAATAAGGAATTTCAAAGCCAACACAGACGATGAGTAAGTGCTTTCCTATGTGGATAAAATTGTAATATAGGCCCCTGTACTTCAATAAACTGATAAGAGATTTCCATACAGCTGCAGAGATATGTCTATCACAGACATTACAGTAGTTTACCACTACAGTAGTTTACTGGGCAGAATGATCAGCATCTAGGACAGGTTGTCTATAGAAAAATCTGCTTCAGTTACCTCAGGTCAATGGGATCCAATGAATTCTGCACTGAGGAAAACCAGTGAATTTGAAAGGATAAAAAAGGGTAAGTTATCTAAACCCACTGCTTTTCTAGGTGATGTATCTATCTAAGTCAGGCATGAGGAAGAGGGTTTGCCAACTGGTCAGGGCAAGAAAGCATTTGTTGCTTTCTAACAGTCTGACAATGGGGCAAGATGGGCAGTCCAGAAGAGACAGATGGAGGTACATGATTTTATTGGGAATGCGTCCCCACGCTGGCTGCTTCTGAAAGCAAAATTCTGCCTCTGGAAGAGAGAGGTTTAAGGCAGAACAATAGCACTGTTTTCTGACCTGTCTTAGCCAGGACTCTCTTGCTGAGAGGGAAATAAAAAGGTTGTCACTAGTGCTCCTAAATTCCCTCTGATCCTCCCCTTCTGTAGCGAACATGCTTAATTTTTATTCTGTGGGCACCCAGGCTCACTTCCAAGCTTTGTACCAAGCAGATGCCAGATTATAGCCATTGTGGTATCTGACAGAGAGCGCAGTGGGATCAGTCTGATTATAGTCATAGGAATTTGCAAGCTGTTAAAAACACTGGAGAATATCCCAGTCGCAGAAAAAATTGTCCTGATTGATCCACTTTAATTGCTTCTGTTGTTGAAGTTAGGAAGACCAAGAGTAAGCAAACCTTAGTATTTGTTAGTATTTTTAGCAATTTTTTCCTCAATTGCTGTACTCTATTCCTACACACCGGATGGAGTAGCTCATGAGAGGAGTGGGAATACCTGATATTAAGATCATCTTTTATTAAATTCATGGGATACGCAGTTTTATTATTCTGACTTAGTGGAGATGTCTTGAAATTTCATACTGCCATATAATTCCTGATCATGCTTTTATATTTTCAAAGCTGCATCAGACTGGATGGTTGCACATGGAAATAATGAGAGACCTCTACACCACACGTTTGAGCATAGTTATGACCTAAAAGGACAGAAAAATGTTTTCAAGGTTTTTTGGTATCTTCTGTGAAATGAGAAGATTGCTTTTTGCCATTGGGCTTCCCAGTAGAGATGTAGCCATGTTTGAAACATTTCCACTGCATTCCACAGCCTATTAGAATATTTAAAGCACAGATGGGCACAAAGAATGAACTACACTTTCCCATTGGCAGCTCTTTCCCACAGCTCCCTTAATGACTTCTCAATGGATAACACTGAGATTCTAGGGTTTGGTTCTCATGCTTTTTTGGGAGGTGTTCTCGAGCCACATGCATTGCGGACAAGAAAAGTTACCCCTTCTATGCCCGTAGGGACACTCTGCGTGTATTTGTGGGCCAGTGCAGAGCCATAACTCAACTGCTCATGGAAATATGGACATCCTCTTTGTAAAGTGCTCTTGCAATAATTTGTAAAGTGCTCTTGCCTGATTGGATTCAGGTTGACTCAAAACTCCAATAATTTGTCTGTGGAGAGTCCCTAAGTGAAACTGAAGTCTAACAGAATTCTAGACTGTATTTCCCTGCAAAAGCTTTAAATGTCTATTCATACCTAAAATAGAATAGATACTGGGACAATGAGTCCAAAAGAGGTTGGCTGATTCAGCTTTCCAACATTGCTGCCTGTCCTGCCAACAAGAAGAGGATCCAGAGCCTGCAGAGCGTCATCTCAGGACATTGGAAGAGGAGGCAGTAAACGTTGACCAGTTCCTGCTCAGCCTTCAGCCAACATTTTTAAAACTTTCGCTATTTGTCCTTGAGACAGTCTAGTTTCCCAGTGCTGCTGTTGGCAGTGGAATTAGGACCAGGAAGGTTGCATAAGGCTGAAAGATGTGCTAACTAGGTCTTCTCTCCAGAAAGGGGGCTTTGGATAAGTATCAACAACTGTTTCACATACAGAGTGGTCCTAGAACGTGATACCTGTTTTGTCAATATGTTCATTACCGGTACTTAAAAATCAGTGTCACCCACCTCTACTCCAAAAACAAGCTTCCTGATCAGAATAGCTGAATGGTAGCAATACTCAGCCTCAGGACCTTCAGCACAAGGGGATGCTGCTTCCACATCCCTTGCTTTTCTCATAATGGACTGCATGAATATGAGTTTGCCTTATAAAGAGGAAAAGGTTCAAAGCCCAAAGCAAAATATAGGGCATTGGGCCACCTGGCACAGGCAGCCAGGACTTCATGTCTTTCTGTCCTTAGCATTTGCAAAGCTAGCAGAGAAAGGGGTTGGGTTGTCTGTGTCCCTTTTCATGCTGTTATATGGCATTGTCACTCGGGCTCTGTGGAGGATGATGAGGCTATCTGCATCATCTTGTAAGGATTTGGACCAAACCTCGCGACTACATGAAAGCAGAATGGTGTTGAAATACCCATTTTGATTCTGGCAGCTCTGCATGAGTCTGTGCACACATTGGCAGGTGTGAGGACACCTGCAGAGATCCCAGTCAAAATCTTTGACCTGGTTTCAACTGGAGTTTTCAACGCAAATCAAGGTACCAGAGCTGAAACAAATAAGTTCCTATAAGTGTTTTGGCATCAATGAAATTTTACTTATTCACGGACACTTACCATCTTGAAAAAGCACCTCCTATCTTTCCATGGGGCAATATCTTACAGCATATACACCAGTTTTGACAGAATCAAGTTAACTGTTGTGAACATGAATTTATACAAATCTCCCAGGCTGAGCAAGACTGACTATTTTTGTAAAATGCCAGGAACAAAAATATTAAGCAGCAGGGGAAAAGTTCTGGTCGGACATGAAAGGTGGCAACTTTACTTTTAGCTTCCAGCACTGCTGGATCTATTAAAATGTTCACAGGGACTCAGCTCATTCGTATTTGAGGAATGTCCTTTGAAAGCACAATAATGCTTCTGGCAGCAGATTTTGCTCATGGGACAAATACCTTTAAATTAAACATACAAGAGTTCAGTCTTCAAGATTGAAAGGAAGATTGAAATAGTCTGGGGTGGCCTATGCTATTATGTACCTTTATTAAACTCTGAGAAGCCAAAGAGGCATGACAGGTTTTCAGGGTGCTGGAAGGTTTGCAAGGCTCTTGAAGGGCTGCTGTTGCTTTTCTGAAACACTACAAGATACAGATGGGTCAGACACAGCAATATTTCCATTTTCTTTCAGGATATGGCAGTAGAATTTCCCTGTAATCCCTAGGGTTTGCACTTCTACTAAATGACAGTGCAGAACACGCTATTAGCAGAGATGCCAAAGCCTAGCTAGTGTCTGACACCTTAACCTCCCCAAGAATTATATTAAAGTAGTGAAAAGATCCACCACAGGCTCTATTTGTAGAACAGCAGGGACCTCTGGCACAGCAGACAAGTGGGTCAAAAAAGATTGCTATATACAGCAACTGTCAGATGAAATCAGTTGGCTGCTCAGAAATTTGTTTCTTACTATTTCTGCAAATGCATCTCAAGCTTCCTAAGACACAAAGTGGAAAGAGATGATGAATATCATGCATTCCAATGACCTGCTTGATTTTAATACACAGTTAACATTTTCTTAGCATGTGGTAGCTGTGTATTGACCTTTACCTTGCACAGGCACCCTATGGAGTGCTGCTAAATTACAATTAAGGCATTTGAAATGAGGACATGGGGGCATGTGATGATTTTTACACCACTGATGAACCATTCAGTTCTGTTCTTTCAAGCTGGCGCTGACTAGCAATGCTGGTATCAGCCTTTTACCTAGCGCCAGAATCACACCATGCTTTAGCTTTGTAACAGTGCAGTTGGTGTGGCTGCTCAGGCTGTTGATACTGCAATTGGCGCTGAGTTATTTTATGCCAATAGTGACTGTACGTGTGGAGTTGCACTGCCTCAGTATAGCTGTAAGCTTGCTGGTTATTTGTGGGAAGGAAGGGGTTTGAATCCAGACAATTCTAGTTGAGAATAGGGATCTTTAACTATTTCTAATAACCCAATAAAAATCACTGATTGGTTAGAAACCAAGAATATATCACTGCTAAGGTCTCAGGAAGAAGGTGCAGGAACAAAAGAGCAGGAATACACACAGAAAGTCTACAACAATGCACTATAAAAGAGCAGACAGAACTGTGCGCCTTATAAATATATGGCCATTGGTTCACACAGTATGAAAACACAGACATTGCTGCAGGACAGGGTAGTGCCTAAGCTGGCTACAAGCACACAGCATTCTGGAAAGCGCCGGCAAAGAGACATCACTGCAGTCAGAGCAAAGTCATTTCATGGCAAAATGTAATATTTTAACATTCATGCAGAGAAAAACTGTCCCTAAAGACCCAGTGACAGCAAAGTCCACTGAATTACACCTACATCCCAAAGGCTGAGCCAACCCTTTGGTGAGTCTATCCTGCTGTTTCCAAGTTTACTTCTGGGGAAAAGGTGTGCAGCTGTCCTGAACTCAAGGGCACTCTGTCAGCCTGTGTCCATGGTGACCATACCTTGTGGTGCCAGCAGCTCAGAACGATACATTGCTGGAAATTTGGACTTCAGTTTGTCATCTGGGTCCATTTTTCCCACAGTCCTGACCTTCCCTTCACTGAGGGTCTTTCGAGTGTCTCAATAAAACTGAGAGAGTTGCCGTGCACATTTGGAGGTGAAGTTCTACAGCAAATGAGAAAAAGAATAAAAGAAATTCAATGTAAAACAAGACAATTAAACACTGTTTATTTAACAATGAAAATCAGCACTTTGAGGGCTGTGAACTGTGACTTGTGATACTTGAATGTTATTATACCACAAGACTCCATTTGGTCACAGTCAGTGTTCCTGTATGCCCTTCCCCCTCAGGCACACTCAAAGGCCTGTTCCTGGCATGAAGGATTCATAAGCCACCAGCGTGGGCTGCAGATGCTCTGTGGAGAGCAGATCCCCACTGCAGTGACTGCAAGTTCAAGGCAAACCCGAGCATTTTCTCCTGCACTTGTCCTCAGGGGCAGCTGAGGACTCTCAGGGGAACCTTAACAATGGGCAAATAAACAGATGCATATACAACCCCAGCCCAGGCAGACATGTGGCTTTAGCAAGCTTGGATGGAGGCATCCAAGAGACCCTGACACAGCTGCAGAGAGCTGGATCACAGAGGTCTCTGTAACCCAGTTGTCTCCTACTTTTCTTTCCAGCTGTTTGAAGCTCCACAGGTACCTGACATGTTGTGCTGTGGCCGTCATGGTCCCCTCTTGCGGGGCACCTGACACAGCACCTCCATGCTTCGCAGACGTACCTGAGTTACACACTTGGTGTCCCCTTAAGCTTTGACAGGGATTGCATCCTGCCTGTAGAAGATCAAGAAGGAAGACTCCTTTATCAGCTGAGTGGGGCACACTATCCGCTGTTGCCTGGCCATGCAGCGAGTGTGAGAGGGTTTGATATCAAATGGCACTGAGTTCTGCTTGGTTGCTGGCACCAGTCTGAGCACAGGGAGAGCTGCCCTTTCCAACATGGGGCAGGGAGAAGGGCAGAGAGGCAGCCCTGGCTGCCCTTCAGTTTCAGGTGACCTGGGTGCACTGGTGAGATGGTAGGGAAGTGACTTCAGGCAGGCAGGAGCAAACTGCAGGCAGCACCCGGAACAGACTTAAATATGGGCTTGGACTTTGATGCAGCTCCTTCCAGCAGCCTGGAAAAGGAGGGAGAGCAGTGGCGTGACCAGCCTGGGCGGCTCTTGCTGACTCGACATAAACATGTTTTTAAGCTCCCGGTGCAGCCAGCATGGAACAAACTGTCCCAGTAGGTTCCCTGCTTCTGGCTCAGGAGGCTGCCAGAACAACGCCCAGAGGCACCACTGCTTCCTGTGGCCTCCAGTCCTGGCTGAAGCAGGCTGTGAGTATACTCAGTGTTTGTCCTTATAAAAAGAAAGGGAAAATAAATGGATGGAAAGCTGTAAGCAGAACATAAGATCCAGCAGCTAGCAACTGAACAGCAGCTATGCGTTTCCTGAAGAGTATTTTTAAGGTTTATAATTGTTCCCTTCTTATTTACAGTGCTGTGTCCTTTTATCTAGCACTAGCATTGCGCAGGCTGGAAAGGTAAAAGACCTTTCCCCAAATCTTCGTTCGCGAAGATGGGCCATTATTATTATTAGCTGCCAGTCTGCCCTCTGCTTAAACCAAGCTACTCATGTCCAAGTGTCTGGAGCTCCACTGACTACGGGAGGCAAGCTTCGCTTTTTCAGGCTCCCAGTCTGAAACAGCTGGAATAATCTTCCAGCCATACTGAAGCAGGCCCTCACATTGTTTGGGGTTTGGACACTCTTAATCCTTTTTTTTTTAAAAAAAGCCTCAGCTGTGTGAAATGAGCATAAGCTGTGGCTAGTCACTGTGGTGTGCTATTAAAGAGTCCTGTCCTTCTGTCTCCAGACACGGGCAAAACCCCTTTATTCCACTTGGGCTCGAGGTGGCCAGGGACACAAGGACAAACTGCCCGCTTTGCAGAACAGGGTCACACTTATACCTCAGAGACAATGGCACCTAGACTTCCCCAGCATGGACCTAGGCTTTTGGTCTCACCTGGCTTGAACAGAAAGGGTAAGAGCTGACCTCCCTCTGGTCTGGAGTGTTTGGGGCTCAAGGTTTTCCGATAAGTTTCCAGGGGCTGTACTGCATCACATAAGGGGGATGGGCTGAAGCAAGAGCTGTCAGCCATTTCAGTGCATTTAAATTGGCCATATGTGCATGTGGGCGGAGAGCTCAGGAACACATGCAAACGACCAATATGATCAGGCAAAATGTCCAATTTATTATTTAAATAAGTCAACTTTTATACAGTTTAGTTTGTTTTGGGCACCTGCTTACAACAAGGTGATTGGATAGCTCAGTCTGTACACGCGTCTCATGTCTCCAGTTCATTGGACCTGATGTTCTGTCCACGCAACCTGAAGTCATACTTGGCATGTAGAGGCCTTCATAATTAGGGGCTTTCTGAAATCTGCAGGTGTACCTTTATCTGTACTTTCTCAAGGCTTTCTTGCTATAAACATACTATGTTCTCAAACCTTATAATTAGACACACAGCTAACAAGTATAAACATTACATATTTTCACACAGTCTATAAGTATAAACATTACAGCTTACAACTTCTAAAGTTATGTCAAGTAAGGCCTACAGAAATGCAATAGGAATTGTTCACACAATTTGAATCCTGCAACATGTGCATACACGTGTTTCTTGTTCAACATATCTTGAAGGTCTAATTATATTTCACATAATTCTCTTCCTCCTCTATGTATGGCACTTGATAAATTGCTCCAGTACAACATGTGCCATCTTGCAGACTTCATGGGAGGTAATACAATGAGGCTGGCCTCTTGTCTGGTCTTGCACTCTGAAGTAGGTAAAAATTAGTTTGCTTGCTGACTCCTAGAGACCTTCAGGGGTGTATGTGTCTCTTCTACAGATCAGCAGCTCAAACCATTTTGGCTTTGCCCACAATTCAGAGGTGTCAACAGGAAGCGTGTCACAAATTTCAGTGGATGCTGTGTGAGGTCTAAAGATGAATTATTACTACTCTAATATCTATCATTTACATTGGTTAATATGTTGATTCCACATTATATTATACTCTTTTATTGATTGAAAATGTTAGCATATATTAGAAACAAGTTACAGAAAAGAACAGTGAATTACATCAGCAGTTCTCAGACATGTTTATAGACAACCCATTGATTCATCACCTATATTCTGTGTTCCATATCCATATTCTATTTAAGAATAATTGCTTCTGAATCTATTATATCAACAAAAAAACCCGCCTATAAGTGAAATCTTAACACAATTTACACCAATATACTGCTATTCGTCTAGAAATGCTTACCTTATTTTAAAACTCCAAACCTTCCAGTGTTAACATACTTTAAAGAAATGGTGAAAAACATGTATTTTACCCTTTCATTGTCAACAGCTTTGCTGCAATCTTCTTCTGTTCTTATGAAATGAAACAGCCCCCTTCTGAAACAGCATGCTGTTGAGAATAGACCTTCTCCCCCAAAACTCTCATTTCCCGAGGCAGTGGATGTATTCATTCCTAAGAAATGGGAGGACCTGCAGTTCTTCTCTGCTCTGTTTGACTGCTATAGTGCAGATTTAAAGGAAAGACACATTTCTGTCCCTTAATATCAATAGTCACAGGTGAGGAATGTCATTCTGCTGCAACAATTCATTGGAGAAGGATGAAAACATCTCTTTTGGGCAGCTCTGAATACAAATTTCTGTAATATAATTTCCAAGGTTTGCCTGCATCAATTTATGGCACTCCACTGAATAGTTTTGCCGTTGTTCCAGCTGTTCTCACATGGATGTTGTCATTCAAAAGACAGAAGCCTGGAAATACGTGAAAGGTGTTACGATTTTATTCCTCAAGTGAACTGATCATCCAGTGGACTCAAAAAATCATCAAAAGCTTTTGGAAGTGTGACATGCCTCTGAAGCACAGTTCCCATCCTTCAGCTACAGAAGACAGGCTCAGAGGATGCAGAGCCAGGCATCAGCAGCAGGAGTAGGAAGAAGAGAGGAACAGTAGGGCAAGGCCACAGAGGCAAAGCACGGGAGGGATTTGGACCAGCAGAAGACTTCTGGGTATCTACACAAATAACATGAATAGTGAAAACTTAAGAATGTCCCTGGTCAGAGCTTGAAAATGGAGCTTCTTCATTGTGTGTTTATGTAAAACCTGAGGCAAAGGTGATTAGAAGCAAGGGAAAGTTGTCCATTGAGATCAGGTTTTATAACAGGTCCTAACTAAGCAGAAAATGCTTTTGTGTCAACACAAACATAGTTTTATGCCTGAGCAAACAGCTTCCTGTGGTCTGTGAAGCAACAACACGTACCTGGTAACACCAAGAGTGGTCCAAACCAGCTGATCCACCCCTGCGTGAAGGTTGAATTCCACCCGTAATACCCTTTGTAAGCACAGCCTTGACTCTGGGTCATCAATACCCTTTGCAATGCACATTTACTAACAGTGCTTCATGCCACAGTGATTGGAGGAGAGGACAAGCAACTCTGGCAGGTATTCCACCCTGTTGCCCAGTTAATTGGTTAAAAATCAACCAGCAGTGTTGTGGGCAGTGAAGCTGCTAGGAAGAGAAAAACACTCAAAAAAAGAGCTTTCAATGCATTTGATTTCCCAGTATGCCTCGTGGTATTTAACAATCAGCATCAGTTACAGTTAGCTCCTAATTTTCTGTAAAAGTTCCACCAAGTAATTGGTATTTCAATGTCCCAGGAGTAGTAAGCATGGCTCAGAGCTCTCCAGCTCTCTACTGCCCTGTGGACTGCAGAGTGATGAGCCTCATGCGGTCTCCTATGGTCATGTGACACCAGGACCAGCCCCAAACCCAGACAGATCAGAAATGCCAGTAATGACAAGCTGCACAGATGCAGCTCCAGTCTGACATAGTTTCTGCCAGCAGCCAGTTCATCTGCAATGATCCCATTGGCTTTTGCTGCAGGATAAATATTGTCTGGGATTTTCCATTATCTATCCACCCGGCCAGCAATGAAACAGCAGTGATGCCATTTTGAGCTCTGTATTTCCAGTCTCCCACAAACACACAAAACTAGTAAGGGAACTTGAGTCATTTACCTAAACGTAAACTTTCACTGATATTTTAGAAAGCCAGGAGTGTCCATAAAAGGTATTTGCATGGGACTGGCAGGAATGACAAAGGACCTGTGAAAGATCTCTGGTCTTCCAGAGTGACAGATGAGAGACAGGCAGAGTACTTCAGGCTTCTTCATATAGCACGAGGTATCTATTTTTAGGTAACTGAATTAGCTGGGAGTCAGCTCATATCTGATGCCATCTGAACACAGGTGCCTACATGTGCCCCAGGTGTCTAGGGTCCCATTACAGTCTGTGGAATTCTGCCATTTAAGGCAGGATCACTATTCGGACACCAGAAGTAGGTGTCTGCTTCGGAAGAAGCTGATACTTTCTGGGGTCCTCTGGATATATTGACAGTGGTCATAGGGAGCTTAGACACCCAACTCACACCTCAGCACACACATTGAGACCTGTACACAGTATCATGATAAGGTGTCATACTTGACGTGCTGAATCTCATGCCAAGGTTCTTGGTTTTCAGGCCCAGTCCACTACTGTGAGAAAGTACAGAAAGCCCAACCTATAAACAGCAATAAAAACAACTATTTCTTTTTTTTTTATTAACTTGATTTTCTTATTTGAGCCTTGCAGATGGGGCATATTATCTGGATTAACGTAACCTAAAGTATGCCTGTCCTAAACTAGAAACTCTCTGTCACCTTCCAGGAGGATGCTCTGAAGCACCAAATAGTGGGATTGGTGGTCACTCCTCTTGCTGTATTTCCTGCATCACTGTTTTGTCTGGGTTTTCAAATGGACATGACATCAGGAGGGCAGCATGAGGCTCATTCCTCAAGGCTGTCCCCCTCACACAGCAGGGAGTCAGATAGGTCCTTTCTTTTCTTGCCTCTTCCTGCTAGGAACTGCAAAGCAAGAGAGTGACACAAGCAAGAGGGAAATCTGTGCTAATTCTACATAGGCCAATTTGTTGCACTCTGTTTTGATTTTCTTTCATAGCTGTGGAAGTAATATTGAGGAGAGTTTGTGAGGAGCAGCTCCTGATACCACATACATATTTTTCTGCTTATATAAAAATCTTATATTACTGAGAAGCCTCAGGCTCTTCTGAAAACCCAGGACTGTATTCCAGCCTCTTGCTGTGCCAATCACATTCAAGACTTCGAGGAAGAATTAAGACTGGCCATGGGGGGTATTTCTGCCCTTTCCTCCCTTTGAGATGCATGGAGAGAAGCAGGACTGACTGAAGCTACCTACCAGCTGTGTCCTTTTTTATCTCTTTGCTGACTGTGAGGAGCAGCAGCATTTGGCTAGGTACTGAGTCAGTCATTCTGTCTTGAATGTACATGCAAGCACAGACATGCAAAGCCACCTTAGGGCCTGTAGTACAGGATCAGGACATAGGTATCTAAAATTGTGTTGTCAGTTTTTGGGAAATACAAACCCAAAGATGTTAACCCAGAAGTGTGTCCCTTCCTCTCACCATCCCCACCTCCAAAAATTATCTGAGCCAAGGGGTCGTAAACTGCCAAGTTCTACGTCCCATTTGCCAAAACTGCTCAAGAATTTAAGGGCAGAAAATTCTTGGGTGTTATACTTGATCCTCTTAAGTCATCATTGCTACCATAAAGTGGGAAAAAAAAATCTATTTTTCCAGTCCAGTAGTGTTTCTTATCAAAGGTAGCAAAGCTTGTTTTGTAATAATGCTTTGGGAAGGACATTATTGCATGCTAAGGGCAAAGTCTAGTGGATTTAAAAACTTGGTTAAGTGATAGGAAAAAGATGATAATGAACAACTGCGAATCAAGACTTCAGGGAGATTAATCTGGATGCGTGCCCAAGGCACCAGTCACACAATCAGTGTACACTTTTTAGCTAATGATCTGGAAGATCAAACACGGTGCTTTGGCGTGGTTTCTGTTGACATCAGGAACCTGACTGTGTAAGGTCCTGATCAGGGGGCAAAGGGCAAAAGTGCAACATCTGCTTACCTCCTGTGAAACCAGAACTGTTTGGCCGTGGGTAAACCTGCTCATGTCAGTGACCCCCTGATGACGTAGCAGCAACCCAGGCCCCGCATCGCTTTGCTGAACCAGGATCTGGTGCGTGGCCTCTGTTACTCGCTGGGTTTGTGTAGAAGGAAAAAAAATAACCACATTTCTCTTTCTGGACTGCAGGAGCTTGGCTGGGACTTATAGCTTGTGCACAGTGAGCTGTGGAGACCTGGGCCTGCTGCGCCCATGGTTTCAACGTGGAGCTGCACAGCAGCTTGAGTAAATCCTGCTGCACTGCAGCATCCCGGCTCCTGAGCCTGCCATGGGCAAGGTATAGAGTGCATGTATACATACTTCTGCTTGGAAAAACCTGAGGGGAAATGTGCTAGTCCTGCCTCTAGAGACTGCAGGACAGTGAAAACACAACAGGTATTTTTGTGGTTGGTTTCCTTTTGTTTTCCATAGTAGTTTATTGAAGTTCCTGGTGTACTTTAGTTCTGGGTTGTTTCTCCCAGCACACCTGGCATACTGATATACATCAGAGTGGTACATTTCTGGAAATGAGAAAAGTATATACCATCTGATCTGCTTCCCTGGCATTAGTTAGAAAAACCTTCAGGTAAAATCCACTTTTACAAGGGCAAACTCAGCACACAAGGCTGTCACTTGTAGGCTTACTGCCAGCCACCCACAGTCAAGCTGGTTTTCACCTCTCCTCTTTCAGGTAAAGTATACATGCATTTTTACAGTTACTCTATCTTAAAATTAAGAAGATGCAGGATGGTCCCAGGCCAACACAAGTCTGCTAAAGTACCAGTTGTAGAGACTGTTCTATCATGCCACAATCTGATCCATCTGGTCACTACCATTTTCTTACACATCAGCTATTAAGAGTCAGCTGTCCCACTGCTTCAGAACTGAATGACAGTCTTCCATTTAGTCTGTGGAAAAACTTATTTGTTAAATAAAGGCATCCATGATTGAGTCTATTTTATGTAAAACTAAAACTAGTGGTACATTTTCATATTCTTTAAAGCTGAACAAAACATAACTACTTAAGAGCGTAGAACATGCAGTGATGAAGGATTCTCTGAAGATGGATACTGTCCTAATCAGAAAGAGTAAGATGACGCATAAGGTGATGCACTAGGTTTAGGCACAATGTAACATCTCAACAGATGAAATATTAAGCATAAGCAGATCAGTTTCAGGGTTTTCTCTCCCCTGTTGTATCTGATACAGTTGTTTTGCTCAACTCAATTTTATAACACTTCAAAAAGGGCCTTGTCTGGGTCCCCCCCAGGTTGCACTATGATCTGAGAAATGCTTGTTGCACTAGCCTTCTTAGAAAATAAAGATTCTAGACAACCATTGATTGAAAAGATTTTATTATAAAATTATGTCAACATCTACATCCAGGTAAAAGACTTAAAACTAGAGCTCTACTTTCAGAATAAAAATTCAGTGAATGCTGGAAAAGGTGCTGTATTATCTAGGTAGATAGACCTAATTTGTAATACTGCAGAGATTCCACATGGGTTCCTTAAGTGCTATACACACCTCTGACTGCATCATGTATGTGTTTTGCAGCTTCACTCTGCAAAAAAAATTAGACATTTCTGCAGCACCCATGTACCTCAGCTGCTTTGAAACAGAAATTACAGCTCCTACCTGGAGCAGCTGCAGCTATGTTACAGGGGCACCATCATATCACAACTCATATTCAATGCCTGGATGCAGACAGAAAGCTATAAATTGTGATTACTTGACAACAGTAAATACCTAGGTATGTGTTTGTGACCTTGTATTCCATACAAAAATCAACAAATACTCAAATATATTACGGCAGTGAAAACAGCTTTTTCACACCTGTATACTCTAGACAAAAATACTTCCGTTTTACAAACAATTTCATTCACTGAGCTGAGCTCAGATACATGACCTGGTGACCTTTGGTGACTGTAGCTTATTCACCAGGATAAAGACAGCCTAGATGCAGTACTAAAGTCATAATTCTCAGTAGTTATCACCAACACATATAAATTTAGTTTTTGAAAGAAATGAAGCATATCAGAACACTATTTTATTTTTGATTGAAAAATCTATCCCAACAGGATTTCTAGAAAACAAAAGCAGTTCCATTTTTCTCTCATTCCTATTAAAAACATTTTAGAATCACAGTATGGAGCGGCTTTCTTTCAAAAAAATACAAATCTGTTATAGAAAACTGTCATACAACTGAGCAAGATGCTTTACTGTACTTAAAACTTCTTGCAAAGGATCACATACACCTGAGATAATATGCTAATTAGTAAAAAAAGTTCAAGTAATATTATACAGCCCTGATGAACTTTAGACTGGCCATCTTGGCAATAGCTTAACACCTGCTGTTAAGTTTACTTTGCTTACAAAAGTGAAAATGCACAAAGATGTGCTACGAAGAATCTTACTGAGAACAGAATACTTCCCCAACAACCCTCTCCCACTGGCACTGTTCTTCTGGGAATTCCCCCTATTTTGCTGTTCATAAAAGCTATTCTATAGTTTTCAGTCCTGCTTGCATTTTGAAACATCATTTCCTAAGCCCCTTCCATTGCAATGAACAGTTCTTAGAATAAATTTAGAGTTTCTACACCACTCCTGAAAACTTTTCGAACAAACCTTCAGTGCTCATCACAGCTTTCAGGGTACAGATTCCCCATGTACCTCTTTGAGCTAGTGTGGTCCAATACAAATTTGACAAAGACAATTGGCAGATTTCGGTTTAGTGTACTGAGCCACTGATCTTCTAACAGCACAACCAAACGAAACCCCAAACCGCGTTTTACACATGCTGTTTCCCACAACATGCTTACACAATACAGATCACAAAACCTTTCTGTTCAACCTGTACGTCTGACTTCAGTTCTTGGAAAGTCCTATCTGACTTGGCACATGCTCTCTAGAGTACAGGGATGCAGGCTAGATGCACCCTAACCTTAGAGCTGGTATAACCAAGTAGCTTTCCGTTTCTTTCCAGTACCTTTCTAAAATATCCTGACTTTCTTCTTAATTACCTTATGCATAGAAGCCTTACTTGGTTGGTTTTCCATGAACAGCTTAATATAAAAAAATCTAGCAAAGTAACTCACAGAGCAAGGCATCACATAAGAATAATTAATAGAATACTTTTTTTTTAAATGGGACTTCCTTATATACGGAAAACACTTTCTCCCTACTTTCCAGGACTCCCTCCTTTCCAGTCGGGCTGTATTTGAATGCTGTTTGTATCTTGCTACAAGATTGTCATATTAGGTACATCTTTTCCAAATATTATAATTATAGCTTTAAAATACAGGTGTTATCTGCCTACCTGAGAAGTTCTGTAATAAGATAAACTGCTGATAACTATTCTAGAAGAAAAATATGTATCAGCACAACTTATGTTTATCAGTATTCAGAATTCAAGCATTAAACAGGACTTAAAAATTGCACAACTCTACCACACCAAGTCTTTGATCATAACAAAAAAAAATAGTCTGATTTTCCTCTACACACAGATCTTTAAAGATATATGTGCTGCTATTTTCCTTATTCTGAAGTCCACAGCAGGATTTCACACTAGGTGCACACAACCTAGGTGATAACATCCTTATCTTCTTTCTCCTCTGTCAGTCCTGAAACTTGCTTGTTTGGAGGTAGATGAATACTTCCAAACGCTGCTCTTTTTGAGAAGCCAGCTTGATCCCCTTGGGTGCCTGGATACCAACTTCTCTTCAGAAAGCTGCACTCTGTTTTGATACATTCTTTGGGTCTTTGCTTGGGACACACCAGTCATCTGCCTCTGAGGTAGCTTGGTAATGCTTGGAAGCTGATTTATTAAAAACTGGGAGTTTTTCTATTGAGTCTGTTGATAAGGCCTAAAGTCAAGAAGAAAGAAGTTACTTGGTTTTCACCTCTCAATAATGTCACTTTGCAAAAATTCATGCAGTATGCTTAAAGTGTTAAGCCACTGACACTACAAAACAGTTATTTACAGAAATATTTCTACAATGGATGTGGTAGTTTATGTGCTTCAGTATCTGTGCTTGTTTTGGATAATTTAGTGGGACAAATGTAGTAACACAGAATCCTATTTATGCATTTTTATAGGCCTTAAGCATTACTCCCTAACATGTTTGCAAGATAGCCCAGGAATGCATGGAAGAGAACTTTGATTTACAAAATTCTAGAGAAGCTTTAAAATATGTTCTTTCCCTACTTCCATATTTTGCATATAACAAAAAAATTCCTATCCTATTGGGAAATTGCTAAATAGAAACGTTAGATATATAAATATATATAGCTGAACTGTCTTTTCCTCTTGTACTACCGCTCTGGTTGTGCTGCAGTGTGTTCAGAACTATGCTTTCAGTTTATTGGAAGAAATTCAAAGAAAGTCTTTCCTGTGAGTAAGCATAGAGAGTAGAAAAGAACATGTAGTCCTATTTGCAGGTTACTTATAAAAAGAGTAGTGTGTGTTATATGCTTGGTGTTCAAGATTACTGATAACTGGATCCCATATATGGGCTATATGGCAACTGTTGAACAGCACCAGTTCAAGGATTTAGTTTATGCAAACTTTCTGGTTGCCACAGAGTAAAGACATCAGATCTGTAGCTCACACCACTGACTTCATTCTCTTCCAGTACTTTGTATTCCATGAACAAGTAAAGAACATCTTAACACAAGATGAAAACTAACATGACTCTCACTAGTAGTTTTTCAAGTAGACTCCTTAAAGCCAAGTGACCTGTTTAATTCTACCTAGCAGTTACTGGTATTTCTTTAGAAAAAAACAAGAGCTACTCACGAGCAGAGGATTTGTTTACCTTAAAATGACACTGAGTAGTTACCTCACTGCATTAATGGTAGGTATCTGTTATTTAACTAAATCAAAATACATACCTTCAAGTAGATAATAGCATCTGTTCCATAACCACATATGGAGTAGAGATTTAGATCTCCTTGAAAGTATTTAGCATACAGACGTGAAATTGGCAAGCCATACCCAAAGCCAGCCTGAAAACAAAGTATACGATAAAATTAATTATTTTTTTACTATCTCTTACAGCTTAAAGTTAAATAGCTGCAAAGTCTTCAGAGATTTTAAACTTCTAGAAGTCCTTTGCACTTCCTCCTCTTAAAAACAAACATAAATCTCTAATAAGTTTCATACAGAATACCAAAACTGACCATTAAAAAAACCAAACCCACAAGAAAATAAATCTTCATGGAAGAGGGAGAGTTTAAATGTATGTCCCACTTTTACACAGTACATTTCTGTATTTTCCCTCCTCTGTTTTTGCTAGTACAGCTTGATTAGTAAAAGGAGCTTGCTACTGGGAGATAAATATTAGTCTAAAAGCCTGTTCCAGTTGTGCCTGCCTCTGAAAAGACAGCATAATTTACAATAAATTTGAGAATTGAATAGGAAGTGAAGACCAAGTACATTAGTGTCATTGGGATGCAAGGGAAAAAAAAAAGGAGGGAGGGTTAGATTCAGGTTGTAATGTTCTTTGTTTACACCTTTAAAAACATATTTCTGTCCACTAAGCTAGATATTAAAATTCTTTTTCAGTAAGTGTTATTTAATACTTATGAAGCTCAATAATCTTTGCATACCCCACAAAGCAGCAGGGTGGACATAGCGTTTCATCATTAACCCATAAATCTGTCCAACACTTACAGCAACCTTATTACCAACATGAGTATTGAAAATATCTTACAAAAGGAGTATTTCGAGCATCATTCATATCGGGCCTTGGTGCTGTGGAATACATGTAGCTAAACAGCTGCTCAATTTTCCTTACTGGAACACCACCTCCTCTGTCTGAGATCTGATTTAAGAGAGAATGAAGTTAAAATCAATCATGTACTAAGAACGGTATTTAAAATGCTGTTATTTGAACACACCTTTCCAATGGTCATATATGCAAACACTTGTTTTGCAGCTTATTATATTACAGTTAGATAACTGTGCCACATGGAGGCTATCAGAATGCTCATATGCTCATAGTATCTTTGATCTGTTGCCAGAGGCCAGAAGATCTTTTAATAGAATTTGCTGCAACATATGTAACCATAAAGACAACATTAAGTCCATATTGTAGTAGGCCAATAAAATACCTTGATTGCCAAGTCTTCTTTTCCTAGAACAACTGTCACTTCAATTGGAGAAAGGGTTGGACTGTTTTCTTGGAATTCAACAGTTGCCCTCATTGAATTCTATGGAAAAGAATGTTACCATTACCAGAGATTGTTGAATCCACGCACTTCAAACCATAACCCTGTTATGTAGAGGCTGAGCACAGTTACCCTCTATTCCTATCAAAAATGTATCATTTTACCATAACAAGAGCAGAGGAGGTCTCACACCTAAAAGTGTCTAAGCATAGCCAAGACTCTTCTATGTGTGAAAGATTACTGTTCTTGCCTTAAAGTCAACAGGTTTCCAGAGAAGAGCAAAGTTCAGCAGTTGCTAGAGGTAGCCAGATTTCTGCACCCCATGTTGGCAGCATTCAAGCTCAGTCTCATTCACAACTTCTAGATGTATTGGCCACTCCACAGAAAAGGCATCAGGGCAAACTTACACTACAGATGTAATCTCTAAAAGCAGAAGGCTAGTGGTGGTCACAATCCCACATCCCAATTTCACACTCTCTTTCCCTTACCCTGTCCCATTTACCATCACACAAAAGGGTTCAAATGTTCTCTTACAAACTGCAATCGTACTGCCAAGACTATTTCCCCAAATAAGAAAACCTTTGAGATCTCACTGTCCTATGCTTTATTACTTCATTCAGGTCTAGCTAGAGGTTTTAAGTGTTGATGCTCCAGCTCAGATTACTAAGGAAAGAAAAGAGTTTATACTGACATACCTTAAAGAGCTCAAAAAGCATGTGGAAAAGATGAGATGGAACATATACAATGTTAATTGGCTGTCCTGGAGCTTTTCCTAGAGGAAGGGAAAAATAAAAATAGGAGTTAAAAGGGCAATGAAATTTTTTCTGTATTGTATCAAAATTCTACAATAAGCAAGTTGCCAAAGCAAACCAGAAAATATATCAACTTTCATTTTTGGTTTCCCTCCCTACAAAATGGGCAAACAACTTTATGCATTCATAAGAGTGTTTAGATTGCAATCACCACTTGCTTAATTACAGTTTCTTTTCAAATAAACAAAACAAATATGAAGTATTAACTCCCTTTTAATAGATAAAGGATTTCAAATATTAAGCAGACTGCTGAAATCAGACAGATGCAGGCACTTAGACCAGAACCAGCATTTCAGTCAGCAGTTCCTCATCCCAGATATAGAGCTCCTCTCTAGCAACAGGTTTCTCTTACTTTTCTCAAATTCATAAATGGTACCTCAGAAAATCTATTTTTAAGATATATTGACTTTTGAGTTCTAACCCAGGAGATTAAGTGAGGTGCCTATAATAGAAAATGAAGAGGAACTTGGCCAACTGCTATGTACCATTAAGGTTGCAGAATTGGGAGCCTTTTGATTCAGTAAGAGCAGGAGCTTGGCTACTGATAGGAAGGCAGTCATAAAAGCTCTCATCTTACCGTTCACTTGAGTAAGTTTCAGTTCTGGAGATGTTAAGTAATACTGGTCACACAACAACTTCGAACTTTCATAAGCATCTGAAATATTTATTAAATATGTGAAATGTAGAAGTTTATTTTTAATACTCGGCAAAATCCAGCTTTTAAATGCATTAGCTGCTAAAGTGTTACAGAGTACAAGACTGTGTCTCAAGGGAATGATAACATTGTATCCACTGTATGCATGAAAAATTGAGAACAAACAGGGAACTACAGCAGGGCGAGAAAATCTTCATACAATTTGATAATTGTGTAGAACTGATGCATCTGTTATCTATCAGTAGACATGACCAACCTCAACATCTCAGACAAGTCAAACTCCTACCTCATCTATTACTTGCTAGAACTTAGTCCAACACATTTTTTACTGCTACTTTGGATTTTAAATTCTGGCCTATAAAAGCTTGTGCTTTCAGCATAGATAGACTGCTTTCAGCCATTTCAATTAAAGCCAGTCAGCATCCTGGTAACCAACATGTTGGTTACCCAAAACTGCTTGCAATCAAATATAAATACTGATCATGAAAAGAAATGTCAAGGATTTGAGAATACATACCATTCACTACTTCGACAACATCACAGCAAGGATCAATACTTCCAATGTGTCTTGGATGCCCTGAGCCAGATTTATCATCAAAAAGGAGAGCTGTTTGAGATGAAAATGATATGATATTTAATCCCAAATATTGTATTATGAAAAAAGCCTAAAAAATTAGACTAACACAACATGATCACAACATAGATCCAAATAAAAGAATTAATGTTTTTAAGGTTTTATGAGTTAAAATGCTATGTACTGCCAGCAAACTATGTTGGTTTTTCTGTAGTTCAACATCTGAAGGTTTTTCAGGTGTAAAGAATTACATATCTACATATTGTACACCAGACTTATTACAGTTAGTCTGTAGTCTAGAAAACAAGTTCTCATTACTTTCTTAAGTGATAGATTCAGTGTCACACAAAGTTATCTGAGGCAGATCTCCAACAATTTCAAGAAATGTTTACATTAACTTGTTACGCCTTAGGTTGAAGTTTTTCCTCAGGTAAAGATTTCTACTTACTGTGTTGGTTCATTAGCATCCGGGTGGAAATACGGCTCATGTAAAAACGATCCAAAAAATACTGGATGTTTTGATTAGTGACAGGATCTACTTTAAAAGTGTCTTTGTATTCAATTACTCCTTGTGCCATTGTAGGAACCACATCATGATGTCTGTTTCGGACTCTAATTAATGTATCTATAAAGCTAGATCAAAAAGATATTTTTAGAACGTTATTCTGAGACTACATAGAGACAAGCTTTGTACAATGTAATTATCTAATCCAGCAGCAGCACAGGTAAGTGCTTAACGGCTTTAATATTAAAATACAGTCTACTATTTTCATTCTTTTAAAAGTAATTCCTCACTGACTTAAATCAGGAGAGTTTGTTATTTTTAATACAAAAGGTATAATTATTAGCCATGTCAAATTCACTGCCTGTTTACTCATTTATGTGAGCAGATACGTGAGAATGTGAGGAAAGGAAAAAGATCCCTAGCTGACATCTTGGAAAGAAGTAAGGATGTGACTTCACAGATAATTTTTGTTGATATTTTTCTGTCATGACAGTTCAAGGGGCAGTATGACCTTGAAACCAAGCTGTAACAGCTCATATTTATTTGCAATATTGCTGAACATCATCAGAGATTTAAAGCAGCTTGCTCTATGCAGAACACTTTATGCTAGATTATCAAATTCAGCTCATGACAGCTGTCAGTCTGAAGTCACAATATTACAAAAAGTAGAACATGAACTAAAAAGTTCAAAGAAACAAATTATAAGCTTACTCAGATAAGACTTTTTGGTCATCTGGGCTTTTCTGATGGAACTCGACCAGCTCCTTCAGGCTTTGGATGTACCTATTAAAAAAGAACACAGGAAATATATGCTATTAATTTGATTTTTCCTAGCCTAGGAATGTGAAAAGTACTTTGCCTTGTCCACATCATTACTCTTAACAAGTCAGCTAGGAGTTTGAAGTATCTTTGAAGTATCAAACTTCCATCCAACAGTGGAATGACAGATGGACACCTCTTGACTGCCTGGATCCTAAAAGTTCTAAAAGTCTTTTCTTGTGCCTGCCATGCAGAAAGGAATCTAAACCCTCACTTTAGGTACACAGGATCACCTTAAAATTCTTGAGAAGAGACATACTTCAAAAGAAGATCCAAATGACAATACTGATCACGAAGTCACTTAAGCAAAATTTTTCCAAATCTGATCAGCTTTGGCAGAAGCTAAGCAGTTGAGTCTCTTGTACTAACATCTGACAGTCTTGACACATACTGCAAAGGCACAACTGTTTGCTATATTAAGAACAGTTTCTAGACCTGACTCTAATACTTCTGTCCTTTATGTCAGCCATCCTGGCAAATGCTGCAACTGTGCCAGTAAACAAGGTTAAATCAGATTCAACCACTCTGTCAACTGCAGAGATTATGTTAATTGAATTCTAAACACTTGCTGCACAGGTCAAGGCTTTGGAACAGAAGCTCTGTTAGTAATCTGAAAGAATGAAACAAGTATATAGCCCGCTTTCCCATTTTTATGTGGCTCTGAGGGTCTGTAATGCTATAAGAAAACAGAACACGTCCTCTTCTCTCCCTTCTTAAAGAATAAGAAGTGAGATTTGCTCTAACAGCGACTTCAAACTGCTAAAACCCCCCCACCTATTTAAAGGTAACAATATAAACATGTTGGTTTTAAATTTTCTTTAACTAAGCTAGAAAAGGACAGTGTGTAACAGTTTGCAATTCAGCTTTGATGAAGGAATTGCATTTCTAGTGTATTTTGTTATGTTTTCTACTATTCAAAAAAGTCTGTGACAACAAAGTTGTCAAAGCTGTGTTACTTTACACGCTGAATTCAAGTAGTTCATACTTACCAGCTTTTTACTAATTGTACTGATGGAGTGCCCAGTAATTTATCAGGAAGAAGATCAATTTCTCTCAGTATGTTTGCAAACCTCACGGGAAGTTCTTGTCGCAAAAACGCAAAAGAAGTTCTCTCACATGCATTAGTTGAGCCTATGAATAAATCCAAGATAAAACTTTTGTTTAAGGAAGTTTCAAGATGCAACTACAAAATACCGGCTCTCCACAGACTTCAGGACGCTGTTTACAGGATGGCAAGACACAGTGCATTCCTGGGAGGAATACCTGTACAGTTCCCATGTAGACACGGGTCTTATCTGTAATCCTTTAAGAAGCATTACAGCCTCTGTAAACACAAGCGTCTTCGGGGTGACGCCTGGCAGTGTCATGTGCGCACAGCCGCCCCAGCTGCCAGAGCGATAACGGGATCTGGGAACAGCGCGTCCACTTCGCCGAGGCCGATGGCTCCTCCCGATACCGAGTGCGCTGGGCACGAGTACGGCCCGCACACCATTCGCCTCTCGGTCCCCGTACCCCACGAGCACCGCCGAAACAGCGCTGTAGCGCATCTTCAGCTCCGACAGCGCACTCAAGTCACCACCGCCCGGCACCTCAGGCTGGAGGTGGTCACCCCAGGCGACCTCCCCGCCGCCGCCACCGCTCCGGGGTCGGCAGGTCCCCGCCGGGGCTCGCCCCCCTGCGCCGCCCTGGCGCTGGGCAGCCGGGCCGGGGCGGCAGCGACTCCCCCGTGGGTTGAGCCTCCGGGCGATCCCCCGGGCTCGTCCTGCCGCGTGGAAACAAGCCCCCGAGTGCTGGTCTTGAGCCGCCCCTCCGCCCAGACCCTCCCCTGCTCGTCCCGCGTCTCACCGAAGTCCAGCAACTGCTTGATGGAGAGCGGGGAGGGGGAGAAGCGGGAAAACTGCTCCACCTCCTGCGGCAACCGGCTGCGGCTGCTGCTAGCGCTGGCCCCTGCCAGCGGGGCGGCGCTGCGCAGGGCGATCCGTGCGGCCTTCATCGCTCCCGGGGCGGGGGATGCGTGGCAGATGAGCGAGCGGTCTGTCAGTGGCTCCGGGACTGGCGCTGTCCCCTCGCCTGTGGCGCGGGGCTTCACGTGGCGCCTCTATTTACAACCGCAGGGGGCGGGGCTCCGACAGGCCGCGCCCCCGCCGGAGCGCCTCGTGACAGCTCTGGCGGGGTTCCCCTTTCCCCCGCCGTCCCGTGGCCGCGGGCGCGTCGCCAGCCCCGCGGGGGAAGCGTCGGGGGCGCCGGGGAGGCCGTGGGGGAGCCGCGGGGCCGGGGAGGCGGAGCGGGGGGAGCTGGCCCTGCGCCTCCCGCAGTGATCTTGTTTACCGGGCGGCGGCGGGACGGCCGTGCCAAGGTCCCGCCCCTCATTGGCTGCGGGGGGGTCCGGCCGTGGGCAGGAGCCAATGGGCGCCCGGGCCGCCGGGAGCGCGGGGGGCTGTGTCAGGGCGCCGTTGCCCGCCCTGGGGAGCGCGGGGGTGGCCGGGGTACGCCGTGTCTTTGCACTCGTACGGGGGGGGGGGGGGGGGGCCGGGAATTGGGGGGGGGGGGGGGGGGGGCCGGGGCCGCGCGCGGGGGGGGGGGGGGGGGCTGGCCATGAATTACTGATGGGGTAATGCCACGGTCGGCGCAGAGACTACGTGGGTGTGCAAACGGAACAAAATCGGATCCCAGCCCGCAGGGTTCAGGTTGCTCACATGTAGGTCGGGGCTGTGACCTGGGTTAATAGTGACTAAACACCCGAGGACAGCTGTGCTGGTGACGCACTGGTCCAGGGTCGGCATGTGGCCTTTATTTACTCTCTAGAGCTGACGGGAGAGGCGACTGACAGGACAGTGCTCTCGGGGACAGCTCATCTTCCAGGTCACAGTCGATCCGAGAAAAGCCCGCTCACCTTTCCTCTTTGCTGGAGAGGGAGCGTGGATGTCCCGTGCTGCCTGGCCTTTTCCCAACGCACAACTCCACTAAGGGCAGGTTTTGCGTAATGCATTGAAGAATGGAGTTAATGTCAGCGAAGGACTTCCTGACGTTCTAAAACTTGGTCTGAAACAGCAGGAGCGTGTGGCAATAAAACAACAATGCAAACACTGGCAAACAACTCCGTAGTCCAATTATTGTATGGATATTTCCACACACACACAAACATGTAAACTTTTTTTTCAAGGGAAGGAAGATACATTCCTAACAAGAAATTCAGATGTTTGGTTTAATAGGCAGAGGAGAACACTTTAGCTTGTAATTTGATTGGGACTTTCTAACTCTATCTCATTTTTTTCTCTTCCTAGTCATTATGTCTGTTATCCCTGCTTATGGTTCTACTCCAACTGTACTTTATGTTTCATTATTTTATTGCTCCCTGTTTTATTATTTTATTGGTAGTGTTACTGTGTTGTTTCTCCATTCAATATATTCTTGTTTACCACAATGATTGAATGTTGGCATATGAAATGTGAAATGAAGCAAAATGTAGAGCTCTAATAGCAGCAAATGTAATCACTTTGATTTTTGCTGTCCTTGCCAGAAGTTGAAAATTGAAAATAAATGTTGGTATTTTCTTTTGACTGTTTCAGCTTTGTTTGCCTGCAAGTTGCAGATGACTCAGAGAAATGAAAATGCCATACATATTTGTTTAAATCATGAAACATGTAGGGATAGCCTTTGTTTTGTTTCACATTCTTCCTGAAGCCACTAATAAGTGGGAAGCAAGAATCTCAAAATTAACACTTTGCAAAAAAATCTGGGTCAGAACAGTCCTCTGCACTAGGCAGATATTCTGGTTTATAAGGTCACTATTTCTATTGAATTGAGATACTTTATTTTAATCTGTTGTTGTGCTGAGCCTGCTTAGTATAAGTAACTTGAATATCCTTTGTGAGCAATCATATTACACACCCTGTTCTGAATAGGGAAAAAGTCTACTAGGAATAGTTTCCTTCATTTACATTAATTCTCTTTACAGCAACATGCTTTCTAATTGTTTTCCTGGTAGTTATATGCAGTAAGGGATGAACAAATATCTTACATATTCAGTTTAGCTCTGAACAAACAATACAACCTTAGTTGCGGGAAATATGGGAAACGTGTTACCTTCCCCAATTGTTAAAAGGGCAAGGCTCCAGTAACTCAAACCCAGGATGTTTTTCAAATAAAAACAAACTTCCACAAGAATTTTACAAATCAGCAGCACAATAATGAACAGGGGTTTTATTACTTCAATGAGCATCTGGAAGAAGTGTGTCTCCTTCATAATGCAAATTTGCTTCTTGCTCTTTGTTTTAATGGGTTATATATTACAGCAGGTTCTGAAAAATATGAACTTCCATTCCTGGAAACATAAACTATATCTCTCTGAAATAATTATTAAGGATGTCCTGAATATTGAGCAAGACAGCTAAGTTTTATGTAACAATATATGAGGATTCATGGTCAGCCAAGCTTCACATGAAGACTAGGCTGTGAAAATTGTAACCACTTCAAACAATGCCTCAGTCTGTCCCATCTCCAGCAGTGTTCTCACTTGATTTTCTCTCCAAACCACTATTTCCCCCTCCCCACGAAGTTCCAGTGTGATAGTTTTAAGTGCAGGTGTTGGAGACCAGGGTTTTGATAGTGAAGGACAGTGCCAAATTCTGAACTGCAATATTCATCAGAGGAGATGTCATTTCTGCTGCTTAGATATTTTAACTTTCCTCTTATGAACTGCCCCAGGGCAAGTTTTGAAAGGCAGTAACAACGTTTTCAGTTGCTTGGTTGCAGTAATGTTTTGCTGACTATGCTTAAGAATATGGAGCTGCATTAACGTTTTGCTTTTTTGCACAACAGATGGGTCCAGAAGAGTGGAATGAATGAATGCCGGATTCCTGTCCATTTGTCTCCTAGTAGCTCTCCATTGCAATCAGCTACCTCTCACCTCATGTTCCTTGTGTCCTCCCCCTAGCCGGAGACACAACGTGCTGTACTTAGGTCAGAGCCAGGTTCCTGGTTAGCCAGCATACCTAATAACTGACCGTGTTGCTGATGTCTAATAGAAGGTATCTTGGCTGCTTTTGCCCCACCTTTTTTTCTGTAGGGACACAAATTTAAGGCTCTTTTTCCTAATACACCTGCCAACAAGTGCTGGAGACACAATATGCTGTGCTGGGTTGAGTGCCCTCTCCTGACCAGCCAGAATACAAGTGATGACAACTGGTGTGGTTGCTGCTCTCTAGCAGAGTGAACCTTGGCTGAGTTTCTCCTGCCTTTATTCAAGGTGGAGCAAAATTTGAATCTCTGCTCTCTAAATCACCTGCTGGTTTGTACAAAGTTTGTAAGGAGTTGATTATCTATTCAAATTTGTTTGAAATGGTTAGGAGGGATGGTTTGGCAAAAAGGTGAACAGGCAGCATTATCAAATTTTTTTTCCCTTGTGGAACCAGACTAACATTTTCTGCTAAGGGCAAAGGCAACTTCTAATTCAGCTTTTGTAAGGAAGGGTAAATGATGACGCAGGATGAGCAGTAAGTCAAGGTGGAAATTAACGGTAGCACTAGAAAGTTTTGAATGTAAGCAGAAGGAATAGTCAGGTGACTGAAGAGCATGAGTTGTATTTGCAGGATTTTGTGAAATTTCCAGCAGTACCAAGGGCAAAGCACTCTCCCTCCACCTGCAAATGGGTCTGCATTCATGGAATGGGATTGTTACTTCAACCTACTGATACATTTGTTTTCTAAATATTTATGTGGCCCTTTGCATGGAAAGAAGGACAGAAATAGCATTACAAACAAGGGTCATATCTTCCCGTTCTCATCTTTCTGTCACCCGACACTGGTGCCGCAGGAGCTGTCGAGCTGCCGACGGCTCCCAGTGTGGCCAAAATAGCCGAAGTAGGTGAAAGGTTGTGGAGGAGCACACAAACAGGCTGGCATGCCTCTTCAGTAGTTCAGTGAGGGAAAGGTCTTGCAGCTGCTCCAACACTTGTGCAATCTCCCCTGCCCACTCACAGCTTGCAAAAGTCAAGAGTACAGTAGCTGGATCATTTTACGGATGAAGCTGTGGCCAGTCAGCAGCCTGCTTGGAGCTGTAGACACAAGGATAAGCTTGGCAACTCAGCAGGTGTTGAGCAGGAGACACCCTTTTTCCTCATCCCCTGCCTTTGTTACCCATGCCTGAAATTGTCTGTTAACTCCTTTAAAATCATAGAAAATGAGAATGGATTGCTAGTTTCAAAATTGCTTTTTAAAAAAATAGCTAGAGATTCTTCCATGACATTAACTGTGGGTATTTAAACTGGGAGTATAGAGATAGCAGAGAGGGAGAAGACTGTTTTGGAGCATAGCTCTACCCTTCAGGAAATAAAGCTAGGACTCAAACTGTGATAAAAGTATGACTCAAAAGCTTGTCACTAGAGCATGTAGAATTTAGGAGGCTGCTTGCTAAGTAGGGGAATAGTAATCTTCAGCCAAGTAATCTTCAGCAGAGGAAATAAAGGTAAACTCTCAGTGTGGGCTGGCACTGATCTAAAGTACATAGCTAGACGAAATAATGTCCTTTTCCAGCCTCAGCTGACTACCATAGCAGTTCTTCTGGAAGACCATGTGGCATCCTCTATGACAACTGCTGGTGCAGAGGAAAAGAAAGAGGACAGGCATTATCAGGACAGCTGCCACTTTGGGCCATGGCTGCCTTTACTGTGAACAGCCCTGCTCTAGAGAAGAGCACCTGGGAAAAGGTGGACATCTTGTGAGAAGCCAGGGGGAAAAAAGTGAATGTTACTAAAATAATACAGCTTTTAAGGTCTAAATATGTTTCAGCAGAATCAGAAAACAGTTATATTTTTCTGTAGGAATATGGGAATGGAGCTAGTGTAACAGGATGTCTCAATTTAGAAGTTTTGGATTAGACATCTTAAGAAACATCAGAAACACCTCATCCTGAGAAGGAGTTCTAGTTTCACCTGTAACCTTTACATGAGTCATGGGCCTTGAACTGGTACACATACTGCTTTTGTTTTTCAGGGTGGACTACTCTGGGTGAAATGAAATGTTTTTGCTAAATCTTCTGTCAGATGGGCTTGATCCTG